GTATTCTTGCGACCATCTGTCGGGCACAGAGGTCGGCATTTTAGGTCGCCCTCACTCACCCTCACCCTCACAGCCACACTCACCTAAGCCCCTCACTCACCCTCACCCTCACAGCTACACTCACCTTTAGCCCCTCACTCACCCTCACCCTCACACTCACACTCACCTTCAGCCCTTCACTCACCCTCACTGAACCTCACGGCCCTCACGCACTCACCGCCCTCACGGCCCTCACGCCCCTCACCGCCCTCACGGCCCTCACGCCCCTCACTCACTCACCGCCCTCACGCCACTCACGGCCCTCACAGCCCTCACCGCCCTCACGGCCCTCACGGCCCTCACGCACTCATAGCCCTCACGCCACTCACCGCCCTCACCGCCCTCACGGCCCTCACGCCACTCACCGCCCTCACGCCACTCACCGCCCTCACGCCACTCACCGCCCTCACGCCCCTCACGCACTCATGACCATCACGCCACTCAGGCCAGCTTCAGATGGGGCGATTTCGCCCAGAAACTTTACGTCGCAACACCAGCAACACGGGCCGCCCGCGATCGCACGCAGCAACCAATTGCTGCAATTTGCCATCGTCATCATAAAATTTAATTTTTCTTGCACTATTTAGACGCAATTGCGCGTTATAAACGTGTTTTTATGCATTTAAACCTCGTTAAGAATGCTAATGCACCTTTCTGAAACAGTTTATTTCCAAAAAACGATCGATTTCAAACCAGAACCAAGTCTTTCGGTGTCATAATCACCGGCACGAGGTATCACGTGAAAATTTTGCGTCCCTGATTGGATGCAGCCGTTTCAAACGTATTCGAATTGCTCCGAGTTGCTTGCTCATTTCGAGCCGGACCCGATCTCAGCAATTCGTGTCGATCTAGGGAAAGCTGGAGAACAACCCGCCATTAACACCAAAATATCTGAGAAAGATGCTCGATCTGAAGGGGGCCTCACGCACTCACCGCCCTCATGGCCCTCATTGCCCTCACGGCCCTCACCACCCTCACCGCCCTCACGCCCCTCACGCACTCATAGCCCTCACGCCACTCACCGCCCTCACCGCCCTCACGGCCCTCACCGCCCTCACGGCCCTCACGGCCCTCACCGCCCTCACGGCCCTCACCGCCCTCACAGCCCTCACGGCCCTCACTCACCCTCACACTCATAAATTTTCCTGGTTCAGAAACTCACTCACCCTCACCTCACCTGTGAAGATGAGGGTGAGTGAGGGTGAGTGAGGGCCCTCATGAGTGAGGTTTGCCGAGGTATGGTCGGGCACAACGTCGCCGCTTTTTCGCGTAATCGGACAAGTACGGTTTTCGCCTTAAAAGCGTCTTTTCAGATGCCTCGAGCAAGCGCTCGTTGCTTCCGCCATGAGCTGCGCGTGCTCACGAACCGCCCGAGTGTTATCGAAGGTAGGTCTTCAGTTGTCCCGCTGGAGGTAGGACAAGAGCCTCCCTGCCGTTCTCGCCCTGCCAGTGACTACACCAACTGTTGAACCACACTGGTTGGTATATAAAGTTGTTCGACCGCTTACGACGAGAGTCACCGAGAGGTTTGCACACCTCGTGTAAAGCGTGGCTACGAGTTCAAGGGCACTTCGACAGATTCGGGCAGAACCAACTATATGTTCCTGCCGAATTAGGCGATTAGCTGCAGACCTAACTGAAAGAGCAGCGGCAGTTCAAGTGTCAATTTTCCCGCTAAATTTAGGGAGGACACTAATATGTTGTGTAGGACGTCACATGAAGTCACGTGACGTCATTTTCCCCGCTAAATTTAGCGGGGAATCTGGATTGGTGTTGATGTCACCTGACGTCAATATTTCTGCTAAATCTAGCGGGGAAGTTGAATTTCTGTATAGGCCGTGTGGTATCGTGTCAGGCGACGTCAATTATTCCACTAACTTTGGCGGGGAAACTGGATTAGAATGTAGGTCATGTGACATTATTTCCCCGCTAAATTTAGGGGGAAACTGAATTTGTGTTCGGACAATGTGACGTCCATTTTCCCGCTAAATCTAGCGGGTAAACAGAATCTCTGTATAGGTCACGTGATCTCATGTCACGCGTCGTCATTTTCCGGTGCTAAGTTTAGCGGGGGAAATAAACGGCCATAAACAAAACCTCAAGATGGCCCGAGGATCCTTAAAAAAGGTAATCGCTTTAAGAATTGAATTCCACATAGCGCACGACGGGAGAAAGAGTAGCACAGCCTGGAGCCACTAGATACGCGACACTTCAGGGTAAAAACAATTTACCCATCTCGGTGCTTCAAATCATTGCTGTTAGTTATCCGAAGCATCTATTTGAAATTACTGGAAGTGGTAGAACAGTTCGCGACAGAGGAAAACGATATTGCCCTAGCTTTCCGACACCCTATTCCAAACTCACGAAGTCGGATTTTTGAATCGTAAGTATCACCAGTTCCGCCCGCTTTGCGCCATGGCGGTGTCCACAAGATAGTCGAGGAATGGAGCACCGATTAGCGGCGAGATGTTTTGATGGCGCCCTCCTATGTTTCCCCCTTGTGACGTCATTACCTTGCAAACAACAAGTTCGATGGTGTTTGTAAATAGCATGGTGGAAGCCTGAAATCATAGCGCTCTCAAAGCAACACTGCCAACACCGTCGAAATTAAAGTTCTTTCATTCCTCTTATTTCCGTCGATGGTATACCCTTTCCGACGTCATAGTCAGCTTTCGGGCCAATCGTGGAAGGCCGACCATAGCGACGCTTTCGGTCGCGCACGCCAATACTCTAAGCGTAACCTAGCAGTCCTAAAACGTCGATATGATCGACAGTAAAAGCAACTGAGGATCCCGCAGGACCGCAACAAATGCTGCCGCCACGATGAACGATGCTTCTCAAACCCCGGATTTTTTTTCGGGGCTTTTAATGACCATCATCATCATCGTCATCATCACTTATTAAACCTTAAAGGCCCTTACAGGCATTAGATGGATTTGGGGGAGGAGGGGTTGTTAAAAGCTGAAGAACATTGTCGTATAAAGCTATCTCAAGACAAATACGATCACAATATATACGGAAGTATACAGATTTTTGGTGTCACCATGATGGTGACACCAGAAATCTTCTCGTCGCCAATACGCAGGTAAGTGCCATCCCTATGCGAGCCAACGCCTCGAGTCGACCCTCGTTCTAAGCCTCACTCAGCAGCCGAAAAAGCCGAAACAAGCAAACAGGGGGCGCATGAAAGGGCGGGAACGCGATTCGCGGTGACGTGCTCTTGTTTCCGTCGATTGCTTTGATCGCGGTGTACGGAGCCTGGGCAAAACAAGGTCATATATATACCTTGACGTCACGAGCAGTGTCCCACGTTACGTCACAAGTGGCGTTCCGTGTTTCCGGTGAACGTAGATAAACACCGAAAAATAATCCCCGAGCCCAATTGATCAAAACCTCGAATTGGATCCTGTCCTTAAATTAGAAAAACTCAAGTTGGACGAAAAGAATCTTTAGCTTCAGCTTCATTTTCTGTTGGTCCGGAATGCAGTACTCATTGAACTGTCGACGTAACTCTCCCCCCCCCCCCCTTTTTTTTTTTATTTTTCAGGAACAGCATTTATTGTTTTGTTTCGCTATTTGTATTCCAAAGTTTTGCAATATTCAGGTCACGGGCATGTTTCGAGGAGGAAGGGGAAACAATTGACACCGAAAAACACCAATGGAAATTCCCTCTTCCATTTTTCCAACAAAACAAAAAACACCTTCGAATTAGAAAGAAAAAAGTAAAAGTAAACCCGGAAATCACGACGATTTCCTGCAGCTGCGCGTAGGCAGAGCCGGCAAGTCGTCTGCTCCGCAGTGCACCCAAGCAAAGCGGCGCAGTCCACCCCCGAGTCCTGGGGGGCAATCAAGGCACAGTCACGGCTTCATTCTCGTTTTCAGCAAAGGTAACTCTGGATGTTCGCCAGTTCTCGCCAAGTACATAGGAACAAAAAAAGAAAAGCGACGTAGGTTAATGTTATCATTCGAAACACGATATTTCGGGGACAAGGGCCACCGAAAATAACGCGAGCGCGGAAAGAGAAAAAGAAATATAAAAACAAAAAAAGAACACGGAAGCTTATATGCGCTCTGTTTGCCCTTGCCTCCAGAAACTCTCGGCGAAGCGGCGTGCAAACCCCCCAAAAAACCGGTCTTTTTTTTTTTTTTTTTCCCCCTTTTATTACAAAAACGTGTAAGCGTTAATAACATTCTGTTTGTGTGTGGGCGAACCAATTCCGGTTAGACACAAAGGTTGCTACGGCATCAAACGGCGATGCAGTCAAGTAATTCGTACAAATATATATATTTCGGCAGCCGTAAACAGTGCTGCGATTAAAAACAAAAAAGAAAGAAAAAGAGAAAAAGGGGACGGGGGCGCGAATGTCAAATACTTACACAACGGATGCCGAAAACGCAACATGCGGGTAAAGCCGGCAGTGCTTCGGCTACAAGTCAGCGCGACGGCGTCGATCAGGATGTGTTAAGTATTCGGCAGATGTTGTATCAACCCCCCCCCCCCCCCCCCCCCCCCCCCACCTTTATCGAACAAACCCGGAGCTAAAACTTGGTGCGTTGTCCATTCGTATGTCGAGCGTTCTGCGAAATCGGCGCGAAAAGCGCTTCGTCCATCGAAACAATCGCACATGGGCTCGGCGTCCGGTCATATGACAGGGCAACACTGGCGCGCGCTGCTGTCAGGGCTTCAGCGATGATGGATCATTCGTCGCGAAACACGGACAAAGGGCAAGCCCTAGCAAAATAAAAATCGCTAAATAAAGCCCGTAATATTAGACGTTTTAACAACAAAATAAAATGAAACACAATAACGAGAGTAGGCCTTGCGATGCCCCACAGGTGTGCAGAAATTCGAAATAAACATACACATACACCAAAAAACATCCACGTGTGTCGTTTGAACGCCTGAAAACCGGTGGTGGACGATATTGCGCACGCATCGAACAATGATTTGAAAAACTTACTCATTCCGTCGAACTTGCGGATGATGGAGTCTATGAAGGTGTTGTGCGGGGCCACATGACCCCTCCTGACGGGCATGCTGGCGGCGATGGAGGGGGGGAGGAGCGGAACACTCAATCCCTCCCTCTTTCTCACCACCAGCACAACAACAACAACAACAACAACAGCGGCGTGGTTAGCGGCCGTCGAACACGAGACGGCAGCGACGCTGGACAAGGTCCCATCGGGCTCGGCACCAGCGTCGACACTGCGGGCGGGTCGCGGTCTCGGCGTCAGATCCACGGCGCACAGGGGTCGACGACGAGCACGGAAACCACCGCCGACGTTCCGACTTGAACCCGAAAGCAGCGGACGTGGGATGCATCCCGGATTTGTGTGTGCGGAAGACGACGAACGACCGACGTCCGCTCGTTCGGCGCTCCCGACTACCGCCGCGCCGAACGCTGGGTCTGTTGAACGCCGAGCTACGGCGCCGATTGTGCCGTGGGTCGGCTGACTGCGGCGGAGGCTAGGGTCGTCCCTTTTCTTCGCGGCGGAACCGGGCGATGCTGATCCGTTGCGAGGACGCTGGCCACGAAGAAGACGCCATTTCGTCCGGCTGCGGCGACGGAGGCGGAAGGGACTCGGCGTTGGGCCGCCGCACGACTGGAAGTCCGTGAGCTACGCGGGTGCGGGGAACGAAAACGCATCGCTGCTGCTCTCTCCTCCCGGCCGGAATGGGGGTGCTGGGCCACACACGGAATGACGAGCGGAGGATCGTCCAATCCGCTATTGCGGAGCTTGTTCCCTGCTCTTGCTCTCTTCCGCTATCGCTGAACGACGCGGGCGGCTCGCTCGCGGGCACGGAGGCGCCGCGTCGCGGGACGTTGAGCAAGCGAGCGGCGCAGCGCTGCGCAAAGAAAGCGTCGGTGGACAGACCCGCGAAATTATATACTTGTTGGTGCTCCTTTCTGACGTCATGGAGTTGAGAAAGCGGAGCGCTCTCTCTCGGCTTTGATTCGCGACGAAGTCGCGCCTAGTCGAATTGTCGCTGTATCCTAATTTTAGTCTGATGAGTCTGAAAAGCGGTGATTTGCGCTTTGTTTTAGTCGGTGGATCGGACCTCTTTCCAGTAAGCTTCTGCTCATACGTACACCCCCTCCCCTGGCCTTGCTTCTCGCTGTCGCCATTTACGCAGGGCTAGGTTCAGGTCGACCAACATATTCAGCACATATCTTTGCGCGCATCTCGTCCTTTTTGGCCATTCTTGTTTGACTATATACGCTAGTATGGGCCATAAAAGGTAACGAAGATCAGTACAACGGCACGATGCCCATGTATTCTGGCGGTTGGAGGCACCTTCGGCTGCCCTTAATTTGTAGTTCACAGACAGCTCCGCGGACGGAGCTCATTACTGGAGGAAGGTCCATCAGGTGCTCCGACGCTCTTAATGGATGTATGAAGAATGATATATTAAAGCATGAAAGGCTTTTTTCCGGAACCCCCTATCCAAAAACTTCTTTTCTGTCCGTTCGGCCGTTCTTGAAATTGCGTATACTTTCTTGACTAGTGTATAAATACGTTACAATTATTTTACGTGTGTTATGATGTGAGCTCTTATTTAGCGAATGTCATTATCAAATTAAGCAAGACTTGTTCATTTGAGTTAGATTGTCTATCTTTGTAGCTTCAATGATACGTGACGTAGGTATATCTGGAAAATAACGTAATATCGGACGTAAAGATGCTGGGGAGGGGGGGAATGAAAGACGTTTACTAATCCCTGTAACGGCGAATTAGAGCACAGCTCTTGAGGAGGAGGAGGGAAGGCTACGGAGAGGAGGGTATGCCCCTCCTCATTCGTATTTTCTCCTCCTCCCCTCCGCCTCTGCTTTTCCTTCTCCTCCTTCTCTATTTGGGTATCTCCATTTTGCGATATACCGTGCTAAACAATCTGAGAAAGAAAAAAAAAATATATATAGGGTGTTTTTTGTTAAGCTTACCAGAATTTTTAAAAACAAACCATGAAAGCTAGGTTAATGCGGTCTGCACAGGTGAGCTATACGGCCAGGGGCACATAGTATAGGGGCTAATTGAAACGATCAGTCGGCTAATTAGTTAAAATTCGTTAATTAACTTTTTAATTAATGAAAATACACATATAGTTTTAAATCGAAACTTGCTCAGCGTCATCGAAAACCAGTAGATCAGTAATTTTCAGAAAGACATTGAGCGCACGAGAAGCGTAGTAGTGCGCTAAAGTTACCGCTCGTGGAGCAGGTACAAGGCTGGGGATAGATAATACCCCTGTCAGACGGGCTAGTTTAGTGTCACTACAAGCGAGTGCACTTCAACCCGTCGAAACACACTCCAAGTGTGTTGGTGCTACACGGGAAAACTTAGTGTCACTCCAAAATGATGGCAATAACGATGGGTAAGTAATGGGCACGCAACATATTACAGTGCATACGCATTTTTTCATAAATAACTTCGTCGTCTTATTAGAAACACGTTACCACACATTGTTGCGCTAAGTCACGAGTTTTAATCCAAATTTAAATCCAATTTCATCATTACGATCAGCCATTACAAGCCAGTGATACACGTCCGCACGCCGGTACAATGTTCATCTATACTCTGTTTCACCTTATGATGTACCGCAGAAAAGCCTACAAGCGCGAGCTCTTTGCTCTAGGGCATATCAAGGCGGCACAAGCTCTCGTGCGTTAAGAGCAGCTCCCAACGCTATGAGCTCGCGCATCTAGCCTTGTCTGCGGTACAACATAAGGTGAAACGGAGTACAGATCGAAACGAGCAGAAGTAGAGATTGAACCCAGGATTCCTGGGTTCTGCAGCGCGAGCCTTCGCTCCACGTGCTCCGAGCTGGTGTGCGCGAGCCCACTCGGCCACTCGCCACTCGCCACAATGAAACATCATGGAGTGTGTGGAGGACGAGCCGGAGGGCGATATCCGCGATGTTGGACAGTGGAAGCGCATGTTTGGGGCACTTTTCTCTGTGAGAGCCCAACGCCTTTCAGATAAGAGGCAGCTGGACCTGGATGCCGACGCACGGGCAAGAATTTCAAGTAACATCGATCAGCAGCTGCAGGCCAATGCCTTCACCATAGCCACTCTCATGACCGACAACCTACCCGTGATCAGTCGACAACGGTGGACTTTCCAGAGGAACGAACGGTGGTTCGAAGATACCTTGCCCCATTTGGGCGAGTTCTACCTCAAGAAAGCCTTTCGCGTCTCTCCTGCCACCTTCAGATTCCTGGTGGAGTCGTGCAGGTGCCTCCTGGCCTTCGTCGGCCGTCGCGCAGATGCCAAGGCTGGAAACTAGATTAGCCGCTTGTTTTTCTACAATGCACTACTTTCCTGCCAACAGAAAACAAATGCGCATCTAACATTAGTCTTATCAAAATAATACTAATTTTACGCAGCGTTAATTTCTTCTGTTATTTTAACTCATTGAACACTGCTATCGAGATTACACACTTGGTCTACCGGAGCGAGCGTAGTGTGCTCCCCGAACTCACTTCATTGGAAGTGTGTTCTTCGGGCAGGGCTGGGGATTGAGCTCAGAATCACTGGGTTCTCCTTCTCCAGCGCGAGCTTCCTCTCCACGTGCTCCGATCAGGTGGGCGCTAGCCCACTCGGCTTCGATACCCCTGAATAAAGACACTTTAAAAAAATTGACGCTTACAATTCTCTGAAATGCCGAATTGGAGTGAAGCTCTTGAGGAGGAGGGAGGAAGGGTACGAACAGGGGCGGATTTAGTGGGGGGTCCGGATGTCCTGACCCCACTCTTGATTTCTTCATCTGTAAAATTTAGGGCGTGAAACGAGGGAGAGGGGGAGGAGGTTCCTAAACATATGGTACGCTGACCAACACCTGACCCCCCCCCCCCCCCCCCAGGAAATTCCTGCTTCCGCCCCTGGACCGAAGGGGAGGGTATGCCAGCTGCTCCCCCTCCGTACCCTCCCATCCTCCTCTCCTGTTCCCATCCCACTTAGCGTAAAAATTTCGCTAAATTTCCAGCTAAATTTAGTCGGGAAATTTTTCCGCTGAATTGACGTGTGACATCACATGACACGTCATCTGAAATTTTAAGTGTGACGTCACGTGACGTCACACGGGTGAAATTTTTCCTCTAAAATTAGTGGAAAACTTTTCAGCCAAACTTAGCAAAAACTTTTACCGCAAAATTTAGCGGGAAAATTTTAGATGACAGGACATCTGAAATTTTAATTGTCACGTCACGTGACGTCACACGGGTAAAATTTTCCCTCTAAATTTAGCGGAAAAAATTTGAAAAACTTTTACCGCGGGAAAATTTTACCCTCGTGACGTCACACGTGGCGACACGCGTGACGTCACGTGCGACGTCATTTTGGGAAACAGCCCTTAATGCAACGCGCGGTTACGCCGACGCCGCTCAACCCTGAAACAGGTGCCTAGGAGCTGTGCTCTAAAACAACGTTACATTAATGAACGATTTTTATGCAAATGGGATTATTCTGATCGATCATCGCAAGCCAAGATAAAGAACGAATCATATTCAACTTTGGCGTTCCGCTTCGTTCCACGGAAGTCTACGAGGAGGCCCTGACACTGCCTAATCAGATCATAATTATCGTGTTGTCTCGAATAGTTACATGCTGAAACAAAAGTAGGCTCTATCATTCGTTGCGAACCAAGATAGCCATGAATGACTGACTTTGTCGTCGTCTTTTATCAATTCAGCGCTCCGCTAGTCTTGATTCAGATCAGCCTAAACTCCAAGTCCACCCCACTATTTTGTTTTCATGCCATTCTTTTACATGTCGTCGCTTTCACGAATTTCTTTTTCTTTATAAAATAAAACTTACGCCACGCTTTTGGTTTCTGTCTTTATGTTTTACTGTTGAAACACTCCTACTGATTCCACGCGCTCGATCGAGCGAAGTGAGTTCGTCAAACTCACTCCAAGCGAAGTGTGTTCCTCAGGGAGGAGCCGTGTGGCACACTACAGAAATGACACTAAGGGCGAAGTGCACTCGCTTGTAGTGACACTAAACTAGCCCGTCTGACAGGGGTATAAGAGACGGAAAAATTGCGCGAGCGCCTTAACGCAATTGCTAGCTTTGTACGCGCTCCACGAGTGGTAACTTTAGTGCACTACTGCGCTTCTCACGCACTCAAAGTCTTTCTGAAAATGAGTGATATAGCGGTTTTCGATGACGCTGAACAAGTTTCTAATTGGAACTATATGTCTATGTTCATTAATTAAAAGGTTAATTAACAAATTTTAACTAACTACCCAACTGATCGTTACGATTAGCCTCCTATAATTTGTCCCCCTGGCCTTTTAACTCACCTGCGCAGACCGCATTAATCTAGCTTTCATGGTTTAAAAAAAAAAATTATGTTAAGCTTAAAAAAAACACCATATATGTATATATATATATGCTGACCGCTTGCCCGGAGAAAAGAAACGTAGTTCTCACTTCTGGAAGCTCCATTATGTCTAAGTTCTGCCGGTGCCTGGAAACAGGGCAGCAGGAGCAAGGCGGGAGAACGAGACAGCGTTAGAGTCAACACTTCGACGAAGCACGGGATACTCTCGACGTCATCCGACTTGCTCTCGGCTCTGTCGAAGTTTGCACTGCGTTTTTGATTT